ACCGTCCACCTTCCCAGCCCTGGCCATTGTGAATCTGCCAGGACCAGCTAGCACCCAGGAACTGGGCACCTCTCACCAAATCCAGCTCTTTCTAACCAAAGTTCAGAGCCACTGGGATAAGCCCCAAACAGGATGAAAACTCTATCCAACAGGGAGCCTGGGTTTGGGGTTTCTTTATAAATGCTCTTTCTGTAGAAGCCAACAGTGGACGCTTTGAATTCATACCCTGCTCCCTGACCCACTGTAACTTGGACTGTCTGAGTATCGAACTCCTTCCTTGTCTGGATTCATTTAATAGAAAAGTATCTAAGAGGCTGCCCTACATTTTTGGGAAGGGGTGGATATGTTTGAATGTTGGGTGTTTTTTTTTTTTTTTTTCAGTCTTTACTAACTGAGTAAGCTTGGACTAGGTCCAGAGTACAGGATGAGTATCTGGAGATGAGAAAGGAGTCCAAGGCTGGACACTGGCCTGCAGGAGCTCCTCAGAGCACACAGTGTAGATTAGCCAACACCATGACACTGAAGTCCCCGGCTGACTGAGCAGCACTTCGGGTTACTGGTTCCCCATTCAACACTGAGATAGGTATTTGGAGGAGGGTCTGTGGGTTGGTCTCCTGTAAAGCATGCCTCACTCAGCCCCGTGACCTCCGTTTTTGGGTGAAGAAATCCAGTATTCAGAGGGGTTAAGGGACTTCTACTGTCTGTTAAGTGGCATCATAGCTGGGTGGTGGTGGTGGCATGCCTTTAATCCCAGAGCTCAAGAGGCAGAGAGACAGATGGATCTCCGTGAGTTTGAAGCCAGCCTACAGAGCAAGTTCAAGGAAGGCCCCAAAGCTACAGAGAAACACTGTCTTGAAGCTACCCTTCAAAAAAGAAAAAAGCGGGGGGGGGGGGGCAGAGGGAGTGGCGTCGTTAATTTATATCCGTTTCGGTTCGTCTTCCCATCTTTTGGCCCAGTGACTTCTAATAGTGAAGGATGGGCTTCAAAGATGCAGCGTTCACGTGATTCATGGGAGAGACCATGTGGAGGATGTTGAGCTGGGGTTTTGAACATGCTAGGAGCAAGCAGGCAAAGAGCACCTGCCATTGCTAAGAGACAGCCTTGGGCCTCGTCATTTGGAATAAAAATATGTCAATGATCTCATCTACCAAGCCAAAGGTAGAGAACTTGGGGGCAGCCTCTGAAACGCAAACCATGTTTGGATTTCTGGGACTAGGGAAGCATTGGGGTGGTGGGAGAATTCATGGGGTCTGTTCAGAGCCTTGAGCCTGTCATGTAGCAAACAGGATGGGCTGAAGTTTCGTCTGGCTCAGTTTCCACTTCAGGGTGGAAAAGCACCAGAAATCTCCGCTGACAGCTGCTACTGGCTATCTTCCTGTCTCACTGAAAAGAACCTGCAGTGGACAAGGTGACCTGGAAGTAACTTCCCAGCCTGAACTTTTGTCCTCATCAAACCGTGCTGCCACAGTGGCTCTTCTCAGACAACACCCTGGCGTTGAGAAAAGAGCGGTGCCTGCGAGGCTCACACAGGCTGTCTCCTGGAAGTGGCCAGGGAGCTCCTTGACTTTTTTTTTTTTTTGGCCTGTGATCATAACGAGGTTGAAGGTTCCTTTTGAAAACTGTCTTCTGTGTGTATGTGAGTGGACCTGATTCTGTTGGGCCTGTCAGAGTTCACCCCTGAACCAGCCCTGCAGGTGTCTGACCCCGTAGGGCTTCTCCTGTTACCCTTCAGCACCTTGAGGGGTAACACTAAACCAGCTTAGCTGAGGAAGCAGAGCAGCCTGGGAGACAATGACTCTGAACTCTTTGTTCTTGACAAATCAGAACTTCTCTTTTTCTATGGGTGATTGGAATTGAACCCAGCGTCTTGTCCATGCTAGGCACGCACTGTATAATTGAGCTACAACACCAGCCCATCTCTAAACTTTTACACCGTGGAAGTACATCTGTCCTTTTCGCCTTGGAGTGACCTGGCCTTCTACTTACCTATACTCAGCTAGTGTTTTCCTTCAGCGTCGGTGCAAGTTATTTAAAAAGACACTTGAGTAACGTGCTTCGGGGCTGGGTGTAGTTGAGTATGGATAGTGCCTGGCGTGAGTAAGGCGGCTGCAGAGAGGTAGGCAGGTGGACAGACAGACAGACAGACAGACAGATGATGGTAGACACGCATGTGCAGCTATACTGCGCTGAATTTGGCTACTCTAGTACCTTGTGTAACAGGAATTTTAAGGAATCTGCCCTTTTGTGCCTGTGTACTTCAGTTAGCATCGTGCCTTCAGGGACATTGATGTTACGATGCGTGTCAGGATTTCATTTTCCTTCAAGGCTGGATACTATTCTACTTTGTTGACAGAACATCATTTTGTTTCTCATTTCTTTTTCTAGCTTCGAATGTGATATCTTTTGGGTACTTCAATGCAGTTATGGGCTTCCTTGGTTTTCGAGGGAATGTATGTCTTTATGTACGCTGGACGTCTGTGGGGACAGGTGCCCATGTGGCATGTGGAGGTCAGAGGACAGCTTAGAGTCAGCTTTCTCCTTTCACCTCCTGGGGATCTGGGTATTGAGCTCTGGTCATCAGGCTTGGACTGCAAGCCCTTTCCCCTGCTGAGCCATCTCATTGGCCCAGGTTTCTTCTTTCTCCCTCCCCCGCCTTTTTCTTTTCTTCTTCTTTCCCCTGCTATTTGGTCTGCTTCTGTTTTTCTGAGACAGGATCTTATGTAAGCTAGGCTGGCCTTGAACTCTTGGTCCTCTTGTCTCTACCTCCCAAGTGCCAGGATTATAAAGATCTATACCACTGTGCCCAGCTTCATGTCGTCCTAATGTTGGTAGAGCAAGTAAAGATGAACAATTGAGGGCTGGAGAGATGGCTCAGCGGTTAAGAACACTGCCTGCTCTTCCAAAGGTCCTGAGTTCAATTCCCAGCAACCACATGGTGGCTCACAACCATTTATAATGAGGTCTGGTACCCTCTTCTGGCCTGCAGGCATACACACAGACAGAATATTGTATACATAATAAATAAATAAATATTAAAAAAAGAAAAGAAAAAAGATGAACAATTGATCAGTACAAGATGATTTTCTATTTTATGTATATGAGTGCCCACATAAATGTGTGTCACGTGGGTGCCTGGTGCCTATAGAGGCCAGAAGAGGGTGTTGAGTCCTCCCAATTGAAGTGACAGCTAGTTGTGGGCTGTCATGGGGGTTTTGGGAATTGAACTTTTGTCTTCTGCAAGAGCAACAAGTGTTCCCAAGGCGCTGAGCCACCTACCTCTCCAGGCCCTAATGTCAGTTTCAGTACAGACTGAACAAGATCCAGCTCTTTGGCTCTAAAGTCTGAAGGGTTCTGTTGCAGTAGAACCTTTTGATATTAATACTTAAGCCGTTAGAAATCACAGCCAGGGCGCTGGAGAGAGAGCTCAGTGGTTAAGAGCACTGGCTGCTCTCCCAGAGGACCCAAGTTCACTTCCCAATGCTCATATCAAGTGGCTTACAACCATCTGCTACTCCAGAATATTTCAATATTCTTTACGTGAAAATAGCAATGTAAGCTCATCACATCAAAACAGAAGTCATTGTCTCTGAAACCCTTACCTGGTTTTTGTTTGTTTGTTTGTTTGTTTTAAGAAATGAGCCAGCAGGAAGGGAAAGGTTAGGGCAGTGCGTGGCAGATGTTTTGTAAATCGCATTGTCATCCTTGTGGCTACAGCCACTCTATTGAGAAACTGCGCGTCACAGAGCTTCTGGGAGGGTGCCCGGTGTCTAAGGAAGCAGGAGTGAAAGGGTGCCTGGCGGTGCCCCTTGTTCTGAAATGCTTTAAAGACGGACGCATTCTGGTAATTGTTCCACCGGAAGCCAGAGCTTGTGTGTGGAAAGGCCGAGCATTGACACGCCAGGATTTCTCTTCTGGTTTGTCCTTCGAAATTAATATTCTTTCTTTTTCATTTTACTTCTTTATGAGATGAGATCTCAGTACATGACTCTGACTGTTTTGGAACTTGCTGTGTAGACCAGGCTGGCCCCCCAGAACTCACAAAGATTGCCTGCCTCTGCCTCCAGAGTACTGGGATTACGGGCGTGACGCCACTATAGCCAGCCAAATTAATCCTGGTTTCTTATTTTTGGTGTGCTCAATGTACATTGTACTCATTTAACGCCCACTCTGCATTAACGGTCAGTCACTCTGTCTCCCACAGGGGTTTCCTCCATTTTTGTCTCCTTAAAGAACTGTCTGGAACTTCCCTTGCTGCCCTTGAGACTGGTTTCTTCCTAGACTCCTACACGGCTGTCCCTGTGCTCTCTGTTGTAACCCTGGGATTTCCATCGCCCCTCTCTTACGTTGAGCGCCCTGATTACCCAGCCTGCCTTTTTCTCAGTAGACCGTCTAGCATAAACATGAGGACCAGGTGGTATGAGTTTAAGCCTAGCTCTCTGGCTTCTCTAGCTGTGTGATGTTAAGCCACGTAACCTCTTTGACTCAGTTTCCCCATCTTAAAAGGTGTTACTTCTGCGTGTGGTTCTGCTGAAGAGCAAATATCTGTGTGCTAACACAGGGAAATCACTGGGAGAGTTCCTAAAGCAATGCTGCTGTTTATATTACCCTCCCAGTTAGGGGTGGGCGCCCCATCGCCCCCTTTTGGGGGGTTGGTGTGCATTTTGCGGTAATCTGCCAAGAAGACGTCTGTGTGACTTTCTGTGAAGATGCCTTTATTTTGTGTCACATGTGACCTGCTGCCTGGCAGACTTGCTGTTTGGAAATGAAGCTTTGCCTGGCTTTATCGAAGCCTCACCTCCAGCAGGCACTGTGCCCTAAGTGTCCCCCTATCTGAATCCTACTCTTAAGGGCTCATCTCGAAAGGCTCCAGATCAGGCATTGATTGTTCTCTCTAACATTGGAGATTTTCATGTGGGTCTTTACAACAATATACTTTAAAAAATGGCTTATCATTTGGTCTTCAGGCAGTATATATTTAGAAATATCTGCTTCTTGCCAGCACAGGGAACTGAATGCAGCTCTTGCCCAGCAGGCAAAGGATAGATGTTGCACGTCCAGCAGAGGAACATGGGCTGTGATTGGAGGTCTCACTCATTCAGCAAACGTTGAGCCATCTTCCGTGCCCGGCACTGGGTTGCCAGGTCTGAGGGAAGGAGAGGTGGCTTTGATTCTCCTTTTCCTTCACCAGGTAATGTGACTTGGGTTGTAATATTCAAAATACTCTTTCCACAGGGGCACCAAAATTGCAACGCAATGCCGCTTGTAAAAGGTCCCTGTTGCTTCTTTGAAGGAGTCTCAGAAAACTCCAGATGAATTCTGAAAGCCATAGATACATGTCAAGAGCTTTCCTTGTGGTTAGATTCTCTTTCATGGGAGACCCAGAATTTAAGCAAACCTTAGTGAGTGACAACTACTGTACTGTGGGTAGATAAAGAAGAATAGGGAAGGTCAGAGGCCAGGCACGCCGAGAGGAAGAGGGGCTGCAAAGGTGCAGATAGCAAGAAAGAGGAACCCCACCCATGTATCCAGTTCTTACCCTCAGCCCTGTGTTTCTAGCACATCTCTTGGCCTTCTCCTGGTGGTACTTTGGACTTTCTCACTGGCGTCGCAATCCTGAGACACTTGTGGGACTTGGTATTAGACACAGGAGTTGGTATTTTGCTGTCACAGCAGTCCCTGAGAGAGCTGGAGCACAAGATTATTATTATCCCTGGAATGAGATGCTAACTGAACAGAGTTAGACCCTGCTTCCTTTGCTGTGGGGTGTGGGCCCTGCTCTGTATGCCTATATGGTTGGGTAGGTGTGTGTGTGTGTGTGCATGTGTTTTGCGTATATACACATGTGTCGTTTTTAAGGAATATTTCCAGTGCTTTAAAAATGGTATGGTATTGCAACATCAGTGTATGAATCTGGTAGAGTGTTTGCCTAACATGCTGGAGGCCCTGGTTTCTATTGTGAGCCCTGTAAAATAGAAAGGAAAAAGGGAATAGCAGATGGAGTTTTTTGTTTGGGTTTTTGGTTTTTCCAGGCAGGGTTTTTCTGTGTAGCCCTGGTTGTCCTGGAACTCCATTCAGTAGACCAGACTGACCTTGAACTCACAGAGATCCACCTCACAGAGATTCTGCCTCCTGAGTGCTGCAATTCCAAAATTCTTCAGGAACTTGTGAAATGACTAATCCATCTCCTCTCCTTATCTGCTCCTTATAATCCACAGGATTTGTCCCCCCCTGCACTCTGTCTGTTCTCTATCTCTAGACCCCAATCCCAGTGCCCCAGGCTCTAGCTTTTTCTGTCTCCACTTCTCTAGCCCTGGCCGTGGTCAGTCTGTCTCTCTCTTCTCTGCACTATGCAGATGCTCCTGGATAGTCTCTTATCCACAGTCAACCTTCCTCCTAATGGAGCAGATATGTTGGTGCCCCCTGTCATAAGGAAGGTATAGCCTGAGCCACACAGTTCATCTCTTTAAACACTCCCTCTTTCCACATCTCTCTTTGTTCAGTCAGTGGTCTTTCTGCATGTGAACTTGACACTAGTTAGTGTTTGGTTTGGGGGTGAATATGAGTGCTTTCTCAGAATCTGTTTTATTTTGACATCCACCAGTGTGTCCTGGGTCTATCATATTGTGGTTTTGACATGCCCTCATTTTCCACATCGGCTGTCTTCTCATGTTTCTTGTGTATTTTAAGCTGAAGCTGGTCTGACAGTCAGTGGTTTGGAGACCTTGCATGCATCTCCCGTAGAAACAGTCTTGCCCTGGCGTGCTTCCTTATCCCAGCTTGACTTTTTCTGTCCGATTCTTGCCTTTACCCTGTGCCATCTCAGTGGCCCCGTCATGTATGTATTTATTTTGAAGATACCATGTTTCTCTGAGAATCTTAATGGTAGTTTTCTTCTTCCTAGATAGAGACCATTTCCTTTGGACACGTAAGAAATACTCATTAAAAAAAAGGATATTTAAGTCTTGTTTTCTCCTAGTCTAGATTCCCTAGTAAATAAACTTTCTTGCACTGACCAGACATTCCCAGAGCTGATAGGAAAAACAAGCGAGCTGTAGTGGACCTCACAGTTCTGCTTGCCTGGGGCCTCTGTGTTCTGTTGGGGAGTGCACACTTTCCCTGGAGCCCTTCTGCAGAGAGGAAACCTTGGTCTTAGTCAGGCTTGAGGTGGAGACCCAATTGTTTTGTAAACAGCTTCCAAACCTTCCTTGAAAGGAGTTCGTGTACCAATCCCTGAACCTTTGGAAGATCTCCCAGTGTAGACAGCTCACTCTGTCTCTGTTGTGGGCTAGGACTCTAGGGCCTTCTCTTTACTTGTCCTCCCTCCTCTCTGCAGAGTTGTTCTTGGCCGGCTCCTTTTTCTTTACCCAAGGTCACCTGTGTCTTCCTTCCTCCCCACTCCATTGAGTACCCAGAAGCCTCTCCCCTTGGCCTGGGTGATTATTTATTTTGTGTTGTGCAGCAGAAAGTGATCATACTGTCCTTGAGGCACATCTTATTTCTCTTGTCCCCGTTCCTTTACCAACTCTCCTTACTACTGGCAGAGAAAACCAAGAGTCTGTTTTGAGAGTTTAGTCTTCTGTTTGAGTCACATGCTCACAGCCTCTGTTTTCAGGTTCTCCCTTTTCACTGGGGAATCATTTTGTTCCAGTATGTAAGCTTTATTAAGCTGTTAGTATAGCATTCATATATATATATTTCCCTCAAACTTCTGTTCTTCATGGAAATCCCTTTCTCTATGATGTCTCGTTTTCTTGGCTCCCCACTTTAAGAGAGCACTCTATTTGTTGAGATTAGGAAGATTAGTGAAAAGTTGTAATGAATTGCCATCACTATTTACCATGATGATAAATGTACAGAGCCAAAGGCATCATTAGTTTGTTCTATTATCCTTCAAGTCAGATGGCTATGTATCACAGACAACATACATTCACAGTCTGTATGCTTGCCTGTGTGTGTACCACCACCACTGTGTTGTCTTAAGTCGTGTGGGTTTAGTTACATACTCTCTAACATCCTTCTATGTCAGCCAAATGACCCCTTTATTAGTAGCATTACATTAGCATAAATTCATTATTATTTACATTTCATTAGCATAAATGGACATTTTCTGGGACAGTCGTAATTTCTCAATGTTTTTTTTTAACTGATCATTTAATGACAGTCTTTTGTCGGTTTCCTTATTTTATTTTGTCTTGTTTTTGAGGCCCAGTCTCTCTGTGTAGCCTAGACCCCTTCGCCTCTGTCCTAAGAGGACTGGTATTAAAGGCACTGACCACCATACCTGGCAGCTTTTGAGTTTGTGTTCGTTGGAGTTCAGTGGACCAGAGTGTACAATTCGTTTTCATAGATATCTATGGAGTAGTTTTAGGGTTACAGAAAATTTGCAGAGAAAAATAGGTTCCATACTACGCACTATTTCCCATTTTGAAATCTTGTGTTAGTATTTTTTTTTAAATGTGTGTGCATGCAGAGGGGTCCTTGTGGAAGACAGAAAAAGGGTGCCATATCCTTTTTAATTATAGTTCCAGGTGGCTGTAGCTGCCTGCCACGGGCGCTGAGACCCAAACCCTGTTTCTCTGGGAGAACAGTAAGCGCTCTAAACCACTGAACTCTCCCACCCCATGCATGGTGTGTTCGTTGTAACTGACTCCCGGCACCCTTTTCCTGTCACTTGTGCCAGGCAAGTGCTGTATGGACGAACTGCACCCTGGCGCTCAGAAACTAACTCCTGACCATTCCGAGGGGTACATACTGTCCCTTAACCACAGTCGCACAGAGTAATTTCCCTGTTCTCTAACAAGAGGGCCCTGCTTACTCATCCTGCCTCCCATCTTCCACACCTCTGGCAAATATTGATCATACTACTCTCGCCACGGTTTTGTCCTTGTGAGAACGTCTTGTGCTCGGGACGACACGTTTGTGGTCTTTTCCAACTGGCTCCTTTGTCACGCTGAGAAACTTCTTGTACCGTTCAAAAGTGTTCCTCGTGTTGAAGTGTTAGCCCTGAGCGAGGCTTGTAGGCTACAACAAAGCTTACCATTGTCCAGAAGTGCTCCCTCCCATCACGGTAATCTCCATGACCTTATTAAACTGAGCACACTGAGGAACAAGCCTACCCCTATATAAACTGTATAGGCTCCCTGCATAAAGCCCCCACACTTTGGAAATTAATCCTGTGTTTTGTATGTTTTGTAAAACTACATCTCCAGTTCTTTATGGCTTGACTGCGCCTGTTTCATCTTTACTAAAGTCGCTGAGATGTGAACTCATTGCTCTCAGTTATGGCTGTACCACACTATGTTTATGTATCTACTTATTGAAGGATCTACATCTTGAATATGTCCAAATTTCGGCAATTTGTTTGTTTGTTTGTTTTACTTTCTATTTTTTAATTGTTCTATTGCGCTAACTTTGGCAATTTTGCATGAAGCTGAAGTTCATTTGCAAGCTTTTGCAGCTCACTCGTGCAGTACCAGGAATGAGATTGCTGGCTGAATTGTTACTCCACGTTTAGTTGTGGAAGCAACTGCCCAGCTGTCTGGCCGTACTGTTTTGTATTCACGAACCTATTTGAATTGTTTGAATACGGAGTTGAATTTGTAGAAAGCTAGTTTGGAAAGCTCTTGAGCCATTGTGAAACAACCCTGCACCCGTCGAGGGCTCCCCTTGGCCATCTGTCCAGATGCTTTTGTGTTGTCTCCCAGGTCTCAGAGACTCTGCCAGTGTCCATACTGTTTTCTTTTTGTTCCTCGGACTGAATACTGTCACTGAGCTCTTCTTCTGCCTCCCTGGGTCGTTCTTATGTCAGCTTGGTCCTGCTTTTGGACTTCTCTAGTCATTCAAGCGTTGCAATGTGTCAGTTTCGTTTAGTGTAGTGATTCTCAGCTTGCGGGTAGCAACTCTCTGGGGGGTGGGGCGGGGGTGTCAAACAACCCATTCCCAAGAGTCGCCATCAGAAAGCACAGATATTTTCGTTATGATTCATAACAGTAGTAAAATTACAGTTAGGAAGTAGCAGTGAAAATAACTTTTTGGTTGGGGTCACCACAACCTGAGAATCTGTATTAATGGGTCGCAGCATTAGGAAGGTTGAGAACCACTGATTTAGTGGTTAGAATGCGTCCACTCTAGATTTTTTTGGCTCTGTTTTTAAAACACTGAATTCTTTTTACTGCCATTCTCAATTTGGCTAGCTATCTTATTGTTTTGCTTAATTCTTAAGTTGTTTGAATAGATGTCTAGTGGTTATTTAGTGTGTTAAGGCCCGTGCCTGGCCTTCTTTGGGGATACAATTGACCGCTTTTCCTCTATTTATGGGACAGATTTTTGATTTCTTTGTATGCCTTGGAAATGTTGGTTGCTGTATCTGGACATCTTGCGATATGATGTTGACTCTGGAACTCAGACCTTCATCCCTGTCCTGCCACGACTTGTTGTCGTTGTTCTTGTTTTAAGAGACTGTATTATTGTGGGAAGCCACTCAGGTCTCTAATCAGGTCTGTAATTGCAGAAACTGAGGTTGGAGAATTACAGATTCACAGACGGCCTTGGCTACAGAGTGAGATCTTGCCTCAGAAGGAGAAAAAGAAAGGAAAAAGGGAAGCTGCTATTCAGTTAGCCTTGCTAATGACTGGATAGAAGACAGAACTTGTTCCCTAAACTAAAACGGGGAAAGGATTACTTGAAGGGTAATTTTATTTTTAATTATGTAGATTATGTGTTGTTGTAAGTAGGTTGCCTGAAGTCACAGGTGGTTTTGAGCCGCCTGACGTGGGTGCTGGGAACAGAATTCAAGTCCTAGAAGAACAGCAAACATTCTTAACCGCTGAGCCATCTCTCAAGCCCCTGTTGTTGATCAGTTAGTGGTAGAGACCTTAAGTTTCAGTGATTGAAGGAAAATGCAGTGAGCGGCTTACTTAACTGTGAGGTTGTTGTTAATATGTCAGTGAACACAGGGAGTCTCCAATTAGATTAGACTGTTGAAGTGTTCCCTAGCACTCGTTTCGGGAGAGCTGTTGGAGGTTCTTATAGAAAGCTTAACCTGTCCTAGATCCTTGGTTTGAGGCTCAAAGTAGGGGGGGCAGGGGAGGAACCAAGTTTAACCAAAATCACAAACATAGTATTAGCAAAAGAAGATTAGAGACCTTAGTAGGGCCCGGGTTTGAGGGTAAACATACTGGAATGGTTGCTTTCTGGGGTGTGCATACTACAAACACACCTTCAGCACCCCTTCACTCCCTTCCCCTTCCATTTTACAGACTGTTTGAAAGCCTGCTGGGACATGTCATCGGTGACAGAAACTTGGCAGCAGGGCAGCTCTGAGCGAGTGCAGGATGTCACCAGGAATCAGGTCCCTGACGAGTCCAGACTTCCTGGGATTCTAAATGGTAAAAAGTCTGAATGTTTTCCTTAATGCCATCCTGTTGGTTATTTCTCACTTGTCTTATTAGCATTAACAAATTACTTCCTAATGAATAGTTAGAGTACCATCTATTCTATTGTCAAAAATGTACTTCAAGACTGGCATGGTAGTCCTGTCTGTGCCTACAGTCCCAGAAAGTACTGGCAAGCCGAAGCCACAGGGGCTCATCAGTAGTTGAAGACCAACCTGGATTACAAACAACAACAGAAACACTCTGTTCTACACACACACACACACACACACACACACACACACACACACACGCAATATTTGAATGTTTACAAGCACTTTAGGTTAGGTTCTTGGCATTTGAATTTAGACAATCTATAGAAGGGGGGGGTTGTTCTAATTTTGAGACACATGGCCTCAAATTTACACTGTGTTCAGGGATAATCTTGAACTTCTGATCCCTCTGCCTCTATCTGCATGTTGGGGTTATGGATATGCTATATGCCTGATAATATGTGGTGCTGGGCACTGAAACTTGGGTTTCTCGCATGCTAAGCAAGCGTTCTACCAACTGAACGATGCTCCCAGTCCACACATTGCTTTCCTAAAGGGTTCTAGCCAGGTAGGAGACGCAAAGCTGTATTGTTTATTGAACATATTATCGCTGAGGAGCTGCACATAGGGGTCCACCCAACAGCCACCAGTCTGGCTGCAGTTCAGCTGAGCCTCTCCAGTCCACTTTGAATGCTCACAGTCATCTTGCTTCCAGAATCTTCACAATTGTTTTTATACTTATCTCTAAATGCGTCACAGCCCTCAATCAGCAAAAGGCAGAATGGACCCGGCGTTTGCCCGTCTCCTGGCTGCCCTTAGCTGCCGGTGTCTGTCAGGAGGAGCTCAGTGCTGATATTAAGATAGAGGTGTCGGTTTTAGAACTGGCAGAGTAGTGGCACTCCTGGCGTGTGGACAGTTCAGTAATTACAGCCACACTCTTCCCCTGTGTTCTTGTACTTTTATATCCCTGAAGGTCAGATTGTCCATTTTTCTGAGACAGTCTCACTTTAGCCATGGCTGTCCTGGAACCCACTACGCAAACCCGGCTTGCCTCTGCCTCCTGAGTGCTGAAACTAAAGACTTGTGCCACCACATGGAGCCTCCGCTGTTTATTGTAGGATATTTTAGGACATCCTGAATTAGGTTTGGTTTGATTTATTTTTTAATCCCAGCATCCTTCATTAATATGAGAACAATGGGTCTTTTTGGAGCAATCTCTAGTCTCTAAGTCAGTCTTGTTTTGTTTGAAGCAGCTGGCCTCGTAGCACAGGAGAACGTTTCGAGCTTGAGGATCCTGTAAGCAGTCCCACTTACTAGGTCTTTCGCTCTTTTTCAGCACTGTCCTGTCTAGTGCCATCTCGTCCTACCGATAAACTGGCAACTCATCTGGCCACAACAGAGGGAAACTGGAGGAAATACCATTGGCAGCCAAGGCCTAGGAGATTGCCCCATCTCAAAGGGAAGTCTCTGACTGCCGTTTGAAATGCTGAGAAACTTGTTTCGGAGGAGACTTTTGTCTTATCCTGCAAAATACTACTTTGTGGCACTCGTCCTCTCTTTAGTCACCTTCTCTGTCCTAAGAATTCATCAGAAGCCTGAATTTGTTAGCATCAGACACTTGGAGCTTGCTGGAGATGATGCTAGTAGCAACATTAACTGCACCAAAGTTTTACAGAGTGACCCAGATGAAATCCAGAAGGCGAAGCTTGAGTTACTAACAGTGAAATTCAGGAAGCGCCCACGGTGGACACCGCATGACTATATAAACATGACCCGTGACTGTGCCTCTTTCATCAGGATGCGCAAATATATTGTAGAGCCCCTTAGTAAAGAGGAGGCAGACTTTCCCATCGCGTACTCCATAGTGGTTCATCACAAGATTGAAATGCTTGAGAGGCTCCTGAGGGCCATCTATATGCCTCAGAATTTCTATTGCATTCACGTGGACAAAAAAGCAGAGGAGCCCTTCTTAGCCGCGGTGACGGGCATTGCGTCCTGCTTGAAGAACGTCTTTGTGGCCAGCCAGCTGGAGAGCGTCGTTTACGCGTCCTGGAGTCGGGTTCAGGCTGACCTCAACTGCATGAGGGACCTGTATGGCATGAGTGCAAACTGGAAGTACTTGATCAACCTCTGCGGTATGGACTTCCCTATTAAAACCAACCTGGAAATGGTCAGGAAACTCAAGTCATTCCTGGGCGAAAACAACCTGGAAACCGAGAAGATGCCTCCAAACAAGGAGGAAAGGTGGAAGAAGCAACACACCGTTGTGGACGGGAAGCTGATGAACACTGGGGTGGCCAAAGCCCAGCCGCCCCTCACAACTCCTCTTTTCTCAGGCAGCGCCTACTTTGTGGTCAGTAGGGAGTATGTAGGCTATGTGCTAGAAAATGGGGACATCCAAAAGTTCATGGAGTGGGCACAGGACACGTATAGCCCAGATGAGTACCTCTGGGCCACCATCCAAAGGATCCCTGAAGTCCCTGGTTCTCTCCCCTCGAGCCATAAGTATGACTTGTCCGACATGAATGCTGTCGCTAGGTTTGTCAAGTGGCAGTACTTTGAAGGTGATGTTTCCAAAGGCGCTCCTTACCCACCATGCAGCGGAGTCCATGTGCGCTCCGTGTGCATTTTCGGAGCTGGTGACTTGAGCTGGATGCTTCGCAAACACCACTTTTTCGCCAATAAGTTTGACATTGATGTTGACCCCTTTGCTATCCAGTGCTTGGATGAGCATCTGAGGCATAAAGCCCTGGAGACCTTAGAACACTAACTGCTGTCAGGAGTCCTGGGGAGAGTAGGGATGCACAAAGCGTAGCCCTCATCCACTTCCTTTGCCTCATTTGGAGTCCTCTTTGGAGTGATGACTTTTAAGTCCGTGTCAGAGAAGCTGCATGAATTGTGTAGAGTACAGGTACAAGAGAGGATGACGGGGGGGCTGGAGAGATGGCTCAGTGGTTAAGAGCATTGCCTGCTCTTCCAAAGGTCCTGAGTTCAATTCCCAGCAACCACATGGTGGCTCACAACCATCTGTAAGGAGGTCTGACGTCCTCTTCTGGCCTTCAGGCATACAGACAGAATATTGCATATGCAATAAATAAATAAATAAATAAATAAATAAATAAATAAATAAATAAGAGAGGATGACGCATTCAGTGTTCTGGAGTCAAAACGAGGAGAGAGTGAGGATAGATGGAGGCTGGGGAAGATTTTATGGACAGAGGGGACTCAGGTGATTGGGAAAGAGGCCAAAGACAGAATCAGCCTCCCCAACTAATCAAAGAAACCAGGTACTTGATCCAAAGGAGATTCCATTTGTGCCAAAATTCTCTTGAGAATTTTAAACACGGTAATTTTCTTGACATGAATAAGTTTGTAGCAGCAACCAATCACAAAGATGTGGTTTACCTTGTACAGTTTTTGGAATGGACATTCAGTTTTACTCTTAAGTTTTCCTTGTCCTTCACGCTGTGACTCTGTGGGGTGGTGCCTCTGTGTCGTCTCAGGGGGTTTAAAATATGCTCAGCATGAATATTTCTGTCTTCATTTAAGTTATTAGAAGATTCTAGGAGCCAGCTGGGTGTGTGCCCGTGAAGCGGGAGGATAAGCTCAAGTGATCATATAGGTTTCTGTGGTTCTGACTCTCATCTCAAACGCAGTTTTGTTTTCTCCCCCATCTTAATATCATGTAGCTAAATCTAAGCTGTTTGGCCGGCATTCTGATGACTCGCCTTGTCGTTCACGTTAGGTTTTAAACAGGAATCAACACCGCGTACTTTTATTTCTACAATGTAGTCCACTTTAATAATCCGTGGGAAAAATCATACCAGACAACTTTAAGGCATTCAACTGAGAAAGTATGTTTTCTGCCTCAAAGCTAGAATAGATTTTTCTTTTAATGGCAGCTCTTGTCATCAGAAAAGGCGGGGATCAGTAGATAAGCCGGGTTTTGTGTTGGACCAATAGAAACACGTTTGCTGCCAAACTGCAGCGCCAACGGTGGTAACACAGCAGTGGGTGTCCTGTGTCCTCGGTGCTGGTTCTCGTTTCTTTCTTTAGTTTGTGCCCAGGCTTTGTCGACTGCCTCTTTACGGGGAAAGGCTTCTTTACCTATGAGACAGGACGTCTTTTCGATCTCAAATCAGGGATACCTGGTGACATAAAATTTGTGTAAACAGCTGTAGCTGTGCCTTAAGCAGTTTTTCTGTTTTGAAAACTCAAGGTAAGAGCAGTGAGTGGTCCAGTGACCCCGCACCAACCCTGACCTGAAGTCACCAGCTGTTGACACATAGAGCCCCACTTGTTTTGTATCAGATGAACTCTAGAACTTTGCACAACTGGAAATAACATTTAAAAAAAATTACAAGTATTTTTTGAGAATCAGGTATTTTGAATTATTCACCTAAACACTCAGTAGCGTAGTGCAGCTGCATTTAGTTCAGAGTTAAATGGCAAGTTTGAGGGTCTCCTTTTTTCCCACTGTAGGAGTAAGACTAGGGTTCTAGGGTTCCCGAACCCCGCATTAATGCTGTGAAGTCTCCACACCTCGTGATACCTCACGTCCTAGTATCGCGCCCGCTGAGCTCTGTCTGATGTTGTGGTGTCCCGATGTCCCATGCAGGGCTCCTGCGGTGTCTGTTTATTGGCACTCGATGAATTTTGTTTTTAAATTTTCCAATATGATTTAAAGCAAAAGAAATTCATACACTGGGGATCAATAATTCGAAGAACTACAAAGGAAATTTGGAAATGACGCCGTAAGACATTCCAGGAGAGCCAATGCCAGTTCGCCTTACTTAAGTCATTTCGTATGTTAGTGAACACTAATTTAATGCAATCATTAAGGTCTTTTATAGAAAACTTTTAATCATCACATTCACAAATAAAATCTAGTTAAGTCAATCAAGATTTATGTGTCATTTGTTAAAAGTAAGTTAATTTTAAAAGATTCTTCATTTTATAGGCCTGCAGGTCTTACAGGCTTTAAGTTCTTTGAAGCCTAAGGTAAAAAAAGAAAAAAAAAATTTGTTTGCCTTGAAAACTGGGAACATTGTTATATCTAAACATGTGCTTGCTCACTCATCTAGTAAGGTTCATTGAGGTGAATTTATTTCCTCTTCAGGTGATTTGGGTTGGAAGAGGCTGTTTTAGTATAGTACTTCATGTGTAGAATTGATGGAACTGGATGTTTTTGGCTGTTTAAATAATCATCATTATGAAGTGTAAAATGCAAGACTATTTACGGTTTTACTTTTTCAAATGAATCAATCGTTTCACCATTAAAATCAGTCATTCAGAAACCAATGCAGTCTGTACAAATTATTCCTTCTTCGTTCTGCCCACTTCATATTTGTGAGTAGTGATTGAAAAACGAAGGCAGGAATGTCTGAAATTGCTCACGTAGAAATGCCTGAGAGGAATATAAGTGACCAGAGAAAAATTACATTACAAAGTAAGATAAAAGGCTTGGTGTGGTGGCGAGTTCCAGAGGCAGCGGGACCGCTGTAAACTTGTGACAAGCCTGCTTTCTATAGTTCCAGGCCAGCCAGGGCTGCACGATGAGAGCCCGTCTCCCTCCTTCCCCCCAAAAGAGACAGGTGGTGCACAAAGGTGGAGGTGGGGAAGTGAGAAGCATGCCCGGATGCTGGACACACTTCAGTTTGTGCCCCGTGATGGAGAGTCTAGATTATCACAGGCTACTCTGCAGCTATAAAGCTCTGTCTGGGGTATATGAGGACCTTGATTTGATTCCCAGCACCATAAAATCTTTTACAAGTTTACAAAATATTCAGGTACTGAGAGATCTGAAATCCATCCATTTTGCTGTTTGCCAGAATAAGTTTCAGCTAAAATGTGACTACGAGCACCCGGAAGCGATCCCCGTCAGGCTTGATGGCATCCGGGATAGGAGCTCAGTATCTGGGGAGGAGACTCCTTTTCCCCCCTCAGCTGTGCCTCCTGCATTCAGAGCTCAGCAAGTGGCAGAGTCTAGACATTTGTAGAGGAACCGGATTTTGGAAAGTAGCAAAACGATGGATTGCAGAGCCTTCTCAAAACCTGACTATTTTATAAAGATTTTATTGTCATGGGTTGTTTTGTGTGCTGGGGATCAAATCAAGGCTCTCATACATGCTAGGCAGGCTGAAATGTCAAAGAGCTATTCCTCCCGTTCTAGCTCAGTCAGTTGAATTGACTGACCAGTGACTTGAGCACGGTCTCACGGTTTATGACAAATTGATCTCAAACCCCTGATCATCCTGCTCCAATCCCTCAGTTTTGGGATACAGTAAGGTGAGATCATGCCTAGTGTCCGATTTTTTTTTTCTTTAAAGATTTTTTTGTTTGTGCGTGCATGTGTGCATGAGCCTCTAAGGAGAAGACATTGGATTGCCTGGAAGCTGCAGTTCCTAGTGGTTGTGAACTGTTGCATGTGGGTGCCGGTGATCAAACCCAGTCCTCTGGAAGAGCAGCCAGTGCTCTTAACTGTTGAGCCATCTTCCTTTTCAGTACCTAAATCTCATTTTTTAAAAATGAGTGCATGCACGTTCGTGCAAGTGTGCATGTGTAGAAACTACAGGATGACCTCAGGTGTCATTCTCAGGAATGCTACCCACCCTCCTTTGAGAAAGGATCTCTCACTGACCTGGCAATTACAAGTAGCTTAGTCTGGCTGGCTGGCCCCCAGGTCCTGGAGATCTTGTCTCCCTCCCCAGTGCTGGGATTGCAAAAAGGTTCCATCGTGCCTAGCATTTTCTCTTGGCTTATTGGATTCAAACTCAGGCCCACATGTTTTCTACCAACTATGTCCCCAGCCCCAGCGCTTTCTTTTAACAAGCATAATGCTAACCCAAACCAGATTAAACCAAGATTTAACTTTCAGGTGTGAAATAAGCAACGTTAGTGCTATTAAACACTTCAAAATGTGCATCCTCAGTACTTAAAAGACCATCTGAGGAAAACTGCATATAATGTGATCTTCTAAAAGAAAGGGTATTGAATAGAAAGAAGTGGTTGGGGTTTCCCCCAAACTGTACCTTTTGAGTCATTCCCTCCAGCTCCATAAAATTGTTGCCTGCCAAATCTGAATTTGGAGCCTTTTCCTCATGGTTTGCCTATCTTAGTCCCTCTGTCGTGAAAGATTTCTCAGGCAGAGGTCCCCTGCTGCTTTCTTGCTACTCTTCCCCAGGCAATAATTTAGATTTAAGTCATGGGACTTAGCAGTGTGTTTTAAGCCTTTGTTCTTAGCTAACTATGAGATTTCTTTGTTGTATAGGTAGGTAAAGCAATTAATTTCTAGAAGTAGCCCTATGAGCGATGCATTTGCTATTGGGGAAGAGAGTGTTGGCTAGTGATATTACTTTATGATGAGCCATGCATACATGCCTCACTTCTGTGGGCCATTTGTCAATCTGTCTTCAAGATTCCAGCGTGCTTAGGTTGGTGCTGATTTTACCTTTGGCACCTTAAAATGTCTATCTGTGGGTTGGGGAAGTGACCCAGAAGTTAGGAGCAATTGTTGTCCTTCAGAGGACAAGAGTGATTCCCAGCACCCAAGTCAGTGACTCACACTGCAACATTAAAAGAACCACACCAGGGGGCTGGAGAGATGGCTCAGAGGTTAAGAGCATTGCCTGCTCTTCCAAAGGTCCTGAGTTCAATTCCCAGCAACCACATGGTGGCTCACAACCATCTGTAAATGGGGTCTGGTGCCCTCTTCAGGCCTGCAGGCATACACACAGACAGAATATTGTATACATAATAAATAAATAAATAATTAAATAAATAAATAAATAATTTTTAAAAAAAAAAAAAAAGAACCACACCACCAGAGCCACACGGAGGCTGAAAGATAGAGCTTTATCTAGGGGAATGAATTTCCAGGCTGTCTGCAAGAGAAGGGAGAACAGCCAAAGGGAATCTTTATAAGTTTTCATTGGAGTTTTATAAGTTGATTTTAGTTGAGCAGGAGACCGCTAAGGCAAAAGGAACTTCTGTAAGCAAGTTTTATTAGGAAGGCCCCTGGCTCTTAGGATAGCAGAAGGCTGTTCTTCTGAGATAAGGGATCAGCAGACTTACAAGATGTGCAAAACATCCAGAGGGGTTGGTTCCGCACAGATGTTTGTCTTGCTATCTTAGATGACTCCATCTTGGGCTAGCCCAACCACATACTGTAACTCCAGCTCCAGGAGAATCTGACACTTTTCTGCCCCCCCCCCACATAGCATTCATTCAACAAACAAATAAAAACAAATCTTTAATACACACTTGCACACATATGGTGCTTTTTCTGTATCAGGTAAGGATTTCATGATGTGCTTCCTGCCAGTGAGGGAAATATGTTTGCTTTTAGTGGAACTGGAAATATTCACCTCCTTCCCACACTGGGGATAACTGATAAATGGCATTGGTGCAGAAGATCTTGCCTAATGAGAGAATTGTGTGCAGAAGGGTTTTCTACCTTTAAGATTGGCTAACAGAAACCAATGTGATTTCAAGAAACCATTGAAAAACATTCTGAACATTAACTCTGCTGGCTTAAATATTGCTAAGTATTTATAATTTATTTAATATATTATTTTGTTTGTCTTTAGACACATCAGAAAACTCCTCGGCCTGGTTAGAATTTCCTTATGTGACGATTTAAAAGAAATGCTTTCTCATTAGAGCAATTTTCCCTACTCAAAGAAGAACACCCATTTTAAAATGTTCCTTGAAGCCCATTGCGTGTCTATCAACTGACAGTTTGTAGGCATTAGTTTACTGCGTGTTCTGCACACCTGGCGGGTAATGTTACTTCCTTTCTTGGCATAATCACCGTAGTATTCTGGGTACAGCTTGCAAAGGAGTCAGACAGGCACAACTCAAAGGGCATCTATTGTTTTCAAACAAAAAAGTCTTCTGTTTCAGCCACACCTGTCCTTCCAACCCATGCTCTGCTGAGGAGCACACTTCTTGGATGGAGGCATGTGTGCAAGGCTCTTCCACAAAACACCGCTAGCTGGCCCTTCCCTCACTTCCTTTCTTCCTCCCCTCCTTATAATTTCTTTTTTTTCAGCAGCAAATGCGTTGAGGAATTACAGGAATAGAAACAAATAGTTCATTCATTCTGGATCTGGAGCTGTTGGAAGGATCCCTTAACTAGTTTGCGGAGACAGGAGAGAAAAATGGAAAAGCACCGTGAATATGGAAACACGATTTGACCCCCCCATTTCTCTGTGTGTCTCTATCTCTGTCTCTCTGTCTCTCTCTCTCTCTGTGTGTGTGTGTGTGTGTGTACTTGTGCTTGCTAGTAGAGGCCAGAGGTCAGGTGTCCTCCTCTACCACTCTTCACCTGGTTTTCTCTAACAGATCTCGCTGTTTTACTTAGATTGGTCAGCTAGCCCCAGGTACCTGTCTGTCTCTGCCACCCTCTCCCCAACCCCCAGTACTAGGGTTCCTGGTTTTTTTTTTTCTTTTCTTTTTTTTTTTTCTTCCGAGACAGGGTTTCTCTGTAGCTTTGGAGCCTGTCCTGGAACTCCCTTTGTAGACCAGGCTGGCCTCGAACTCACAGAGACCCGCCTGCCTCTGCCTCCCGAGTGCTGGGATTAAAGGCGTGCGCCACCACCACCCGGCAGGTTCCTGGTTTTTAAATGGATAAAAACTTGGTTCTTATGCATTTGTACAAACAGCTCTTTACCTGCCAAACCATGGCTAGCTCTCGGAGGGAGGGGAGAGTTTGGAAGCTATGAAGAGAATGAATAGTCCTGACACATCTTCTTCTAATACTTGATGGAAGCATATGAAGATGGAGAAGAAGGTGTCCCTACATAAAATACATGAAAAGTTTCAAACCCCAGTTCCAGGGCAGCCTGTGTTTATCTGTATTCTTTAGTAATAGCAGCATCTCCAGGAAATGAAGAGAATAGGGGATTTATGTTAGGCTGAGTCCTCTTAGGCTGGGTTTTGTGTTTCTAAATCAGTTGGCAGTTGCGGGGATTTGTCAAGGAATGTGGGGAGACCGGCATTTGGCTTCCAGGCCAGAAAAGCTAGGTGGGCCTACAGAAGAGCTTGAGGCAAAAAGAAGGGATTAGCTAGTTGCCGCCAGGCTGTTGAGGTATAATTGACAAGCAAAAATTATATTAAAGTGTATAACAGGATGTTTTGATAGATGCTCACACTACTAAGAGATTACCACAATCAAGTTAATGAGCATATTCATCATAGCTTACAGCTGCCTTTGTATGGTGGAAACACTCCAAGATCTAGACCACAGAGATGGCTCAGTCAATAAAGATGCTGGCTGCCAGGTCTAATGACCTGAGTTC